CAATATATGGGTCTCCACATAAAATAAATCAGTGATATGAGGGTTAATGGCTAAACGTTAGAAAATATTATATTACAGTCCCCTCGTGGTTCATCGGTTAACTCGCAGACATACGATGTTAAATCCGAGATTCGATTCCCCGAAGTGGACAGAGCACAAATAACCCATTGTGTAGTTTGCGCTAAAATAACAAACACACAATGTATTATAAGTTTAAGGTTTTAATTCCAGTTATATGATTAAGTAGTTCTGTGAGGTATTGTACGAATTTGTTCATTTGAAAATTTCACGATCCTTTTTTGTATTGTTTATCGATCCGTTATAAGTTTTATGTCTTCCAACACGCTAATTTTAAAAGTATGAATTACGTAACTGGTATTAAAGTGTCAATGAATTCTTTACTAATACTGTTCTTCAACCTAAATTTTAAACATAATATTATTGTGTGTAGTTAATACGCTAAAAGGAAAGGAACTCAAGAGTGGAGAAGAATGATTACCAGCTGCGCCATTAATGGTATGAATGTTCAGTCCTCTTGATCATATAGAAAATGGACAGAAGATAACGAAGACTGTTAGATGTGCTAACGAGCAATATTATTTACATTTAGGTTATATCAACAATTACTGTTTTCGTAAAACGTATCATTCAAGCCTAAATTACAAAAGAGCTGTCTATGTTTAAAGTTTACACTTATATTCTTTGGGGTATAAATTACGAAGCTTAAAAGGAAAACAAAAACATTAGACTCGCGTTTCATTTAGTGATTTCTACCCTTAAAACTTTTCTTTTATACAGTTTCAATAATTGAGCTAAAGCTTATTAAATAATAAAGAAATGTTTGTTGTTAAGCGCAAAGATGCACAATGGGCTATCTGAACTATGGTCACCGCGGGTATCGAAACCCTGATTTTAGCGTTATAAGCCTTCAGACTTACTGCTGAGCTTCTGGGGTACAATAAGAAAAAGAAAAGGAGTATGCATATAAAGGTTATGGGTTATAACAATAACAATTAATTGATAATAATGTAATTTATCTCTATATTTCAAGCTGATAATAAGAGTATATAAAGTAGACATTAATATTTGACTAATCAAAGTATTCATAAATTTCACTTTATCTATAATATAGACCGTTCTTTCTTGCCCCCCCCCCCCCAGTGGCACAGCGGAATGTCTGCGGACTTACAACACTAGAAACCGCGTTTTGATACCCGTGGTGGGCAGAGCACAGATAGCCCATTGTGCAGTTTTGCGCTTAACGACAAAGAAACTGTTCTTTCTTAATAACCAAATAATGAAGTACAAACCTGAAACACAACTTATCAAACTAAAAATTGAATTTATATTAAACGAAGTAATAATTATTATGTGAACGTTTTAATTGTTTTTCATAATAAACAAATATCAGAGATTTTCCTGTTTTTTTTTGTTTCATGTTAGTTGGTGTTAAAATCAGTGCATTATTAATCAATATCAGTTTTGTTTCAAGATTTTTAACAGCATTATAATTTCCTATCGCAAAATGATAAGAATAACTATAACCAAGACACACTGACTTAGGTTTATTTGATGTTAGTTTCTTTCAACAGTTAGTTTTATGTTACGTTTTCCTTACGAATAGATATCTGATACTTTATTATGTGTTGCATTGTTTTGTTGATTTGTAGTTAAGCACAATGGGATATCTGTGTTGTTCCCACCACGGGTAGTGAATCTCGGTTTTTAGCGTTATAAGCCTTCAGGATGTGTAATGTGGGGAGGGGGGGGGCTATGTAATGTTAAAGAAGCACAGTGATGTAAAATTCATGGTTTTAATTATGATTAGCGTAAAATTAAGACTAAACAACCGTTATATTGTCTTCCTACGTTTGTTTTTCAATAAATAGAAAAACAGAGCACTAAGATTGTTATATAATTAGCGGAGTTTTCGTTGCCACACGTGTATGATCAAGATGTGACAATAATATATTTAAGGGCAAATATATAAGAGACCGAGAACTGTTAATCAGGGCTATCAGATGACTACCTAGCTACATTAATGGGTAGAGTATCCCTTTGTTGAACTTTAGTGGGTAAAATTATGATAAATGGGTAGTACAAAGCTACACAATGGGCTATTTGTGCTCTGTTCACAGCAGGTATCGAAATCCAATTTCTAGCATAATAAGCCACCGCAAAGGCTATTTCTCTTGACATATGAAATTTGGGTTTGAGAAAACAACCTTTTAAGGAGATGTATTTTCTTGATTATTAATTTCAACGGTGAGGAAATGTAGATAAATTCAGTTAGTTCGTAAAACAAAGTGAAACTCTGCTTTCTGTTTATGCATTGGTATACCTGTCCCTAAATCCATCTATTCCAAACAAAACCTTTCTTGAAATGCTTGAGGAAATGGTCCTATGCCAGACAAGAATCACAAGAAATGAATCCCCAACTCATACCAACTCCTTCAAGTCTCTGTACCACCTCTTGAAATGAGTATGACCCCATTCAAGTTAAGCGTGAAATGGAAAACTGACCACTATGGTGTGTTTGTTTGTCAGTTATTAAGCACAAAGCTACAAAATGGGCTAGCCATGCTGTGCACACCACGAGTATCGAAACACGGTTTCTACTGTCGTAAGTCTTCAGACTTACCGCTGAGCCACTTTGGAACAATGGAACAAGCTTTGAATTATGTACTATTTGTATAAGTTTAAAATAATGTCATAACTACACGCAGGATGCCTGTACAAATATTTAGAAACCTTACCTGAATATATCTAACTAAAAGATATATTATATATAAGTTATAGAGAGATAAAAACAACATATCTTTCAACTGCGACAGATATTTGTGGACTTTATATGGTCATTTAGCCACAATGAAGCTGGAATGAGGGAAATTGTCTGAAAAAACTTTTTAAATCTGGAATAGTAGATCTTACGTTTATGTTTTCTAAATGACGAAACTCCCTAGTCTGCAATACAACCTTTAAACACCAGAGAGTGGCAAATTATTTAAGTACACACACGTGAGCATAAATGTTGGTTACAGTATGAATCAAAGGTAACGAAAACAAATAATATTAACCTATAATTCTAATGTTAACATATAAATTTATAGAATAAGGCAACAAGACGTACTTGAAAGAACAACAAAACAACACATTTAAGTCATTTTCAGAATTAAGTTCTCTTCAATGAATATTCAAATTAATCAACTGATATAATCAATTTAAATTTCTTTCTTTTAAGATCTTATTTCCAAAATTTCAACATCACACATATTGATGTATAACATAAATTGTCCCTCGATGGGACAGTGGTAAGTTTACGGACTTCCAACGCTAAAATCCGGGGTTCGATTTTCCACTGTAGACATAGCAGATAGCCCTATGTGGCTTTTCTCGAAAACAAACTTAAGTTGGTCTATAGAACTTAACAAATATGTAAACTTTTATCAGAAAATTTTATCCAAGCGTAAATTTGACTACTTTTCATAAAAGATAATATACGAAGGAAGTGTGAATTATTTTTTACAATTTTCATAGCAAAATTAAAGATTGTAAACGTTATAATAAAAAAACGTTTAGTAATAAAATTGAATTTTTGTGACCAAATTTATTTATTAAAATACTGTTTATTGGAATAGAGAAAATTTAATACGTTATATTAAAACGCAAATGAATATGCAAATCAGCAAGTCACGTGACATTTATAGCCAAAGTAAAGTCACGGTGGAACAGAATGTATCAGAACTATATTTTGAAATTGTTTGACGGTTTTGAGTTGTGTGATACCATCGAAAATTAATCATTTTTGGGAAGTTTATGTAACAGCCTTTTCCAACCCAAGATATTAACACACTCAGATCATAAAGATGTCTTCATACTGGGGATATATAATTTTCGAGATGGGGATGTTCCTAGTACTTAAAGGCATTGCGAAACAAAGGAACATGAAACAACTTATAGTACTAGGACCATCCAGAAAAGGTTTGTAATAAGTCATACCTCAGCTGTAGTAAGTAGCATGTGGCGTCTTTTAATGAGTGGGTATCTAGAAAAAACATCAAGATCAGTGGCAAAAGTCGTCCACATGTCCCAGACAATAGTACACAACATAATCAAGAAAGATCTACATCTGGAAAAGTGACACAAGTCATGTGCATACAAGTTTCTTTTACGATATATACATCTAGTCGTAGGAGATGAAGAATAAAGCAGGTATTAATGCCATTCCCCTTAAAGACATATTGGTCAGACTAAGCCGTTTGAAAGGGGCACTCGAAACTTGTTATCTTCGTACACTAGAGAGCTTATAGAAAACCCAAAGGGAGAAGGAGTGTACTTTCAACATGACAACGTTATGACGGATTCTTTTGCCATAGAAATCACGCTACAGAGCTATTGACAAGATGCGTAGTAGTAAAATAGAGTACGACTGGACGTGGCGACATATACTATAAAAACATAATGAGGCTCCAACATCGCTTTAATATAACACACTCAACCTTAGTAGAGTTACTTTTTTTTCTCAATGAGGATCAATGTGTTTCTATACTTATCACTATACGAATTTGTTTCTTGTAAAAAAAAATTTTCATCATCATATTGTTGACAATTTTGCTTCTTTTTTTATCTTATCTGATCGTAACACGAAGTTACGGATGGAAAAACTTGGCACGTAGTCAAGAAAAGCATAATTCAATAAAAAGATAAGTGGTAACAAAAGTATATGCCCACCTTTAACGAACAATCCAGATTTTACGCATCACTTTCCGTTTTATAACACTTAATGACGTTTTTCGAATTTTTCCCTGTGATTGGCTATTTAGTTCGTAAACAAGTCCTTTATGGATATAATATTGTAATTTGATATGGCTAATACATATTCGTACAGATAAATACAAAATATATCTTAACAAAGCAAACAAGTTGATAGGAGTGGTTAAGATGCTTCGGTAGTTTATCTGATGTTACAGATAGCCATGTTGACATATAGGATATAAAACCTCGAGTGTGCTGTTTATTTCAGTCGATTGATCACTCACAGCCTTCTGTGAAGAGAACTTAACACGAAAGAAAAATGTCGTCTAATTCTGCAAAACAGCTCTTTTCACGAATTTTTGTTGTAATATTATCTTTAACACCGTTAGTTGCTGAAATATGCCCAAGTAACAATAGCATTTCTCCATGTAAGTGTTCAGAACTGATCATGAAGTGTCACAATATAAGCATTCTTCAGGATCTTCAGAATGCTTTACAAGGAGCCTCAGGGTTTCAGTTGGACAAATTTGTTCTCACTAATTCTGTAATCCACGCTCTGTCTTCTGGTATATTCAGTGGGTGTAACTTTCAGCACATCATAGTGGAAAGGACAAACCTCCCTTTTCTGACATCACCAGTGTCCGGAGAGTCTCCATTCCTCGGTATTGCGAAACGTGTTACACAAGTGGAGTTACGCGAAATTTACTCGCTCAATGAATGGGACTGGGCTCTGTTTTTCCCAATTGGAACCCTGCGTACAATGATAATTAGTTGCTGTAATTTTACCTTTATCCCCAACGACTTCGGTAAGCTAAACACCACTAATCTACAAGAGCTGACAATTGAAGATTCCGAGGTGCGTTGGATAGGAAGTTCTGCTTTTTCTACATTAGATCGTCTCTTAAAACTTGATCTTTCCAGAAATATGATTAAGACTTTGTTACGAAGCATGCTTCCTTCTAATGCAATAGAACTGATTTTGACGTAAGTCCAGTTATTATTCTTTTTTCATGTACAAAGCTACTTCACAGCCTTAGTCAAATGTTCTGATAACACTCATTATAATTTTTCATGTATAAGATAGGTTTCTCAAACTGTATAATTTTAAAGCAAACTGTAGCTTGGATTTGTAAAGAATTTAGTTTCAATTTTTTTCCTGTAAAAAAATAAACACCTTCACAATAATGCAATATTCGCTGTAAACATTTGTCTAGATAAAACAAATGGTATTTGTTTTTGTTTTGTTTTTTGCCTTTATACAGAATAATAATTCTAATTCGCCTTTATGCAGAATAATAATTCTAATTCGCCTTTATACAGAATAATAATTCTAATTCGCCTTTATACAGAATAATAATTCTAATTCGCCTTTATACAGAATAATAATTCTAATTCGCCTTTATACAGAATAATAATTCTAATTCGCCTTTATACAGAATAACAATTCTAATTCGCCTTTATACAGAATAATAATTCTAATTCGCCTTTATACAGAATAATAATTCTAATTCGCCTTTATACAGAATAATAATTCTAATTCGCCTTTATACAGAATAATAATTCTAATTCGCCTTTATACAGAATAATAATTCTAATTCGCCTTTATACAGAATAATAATTCTAAGCAAACATTACCCTTTTTTGTTCAAGTACGGTTAGATTTAAAACAACTGCTAGTGATACTTATAGGAAAACTATCAACAGTGACATAAAGTAAGATTTAGAGTCAACATTATTAGTGGACGATTAATCATCACAAGACGACAATCTATACAAATACAAAGTAAAAAATGTTTCACAGGGTCGACGTCTTTTTTTGACATATTGAAGATAATTAACAATAATAGCTTATTAACCTGTTTTCTAGATATTTTGGTGACCATCGTAGATTTGAAACAAACAATTACTAACATGTGTTATTAATGCATAAGGGTTAATTTTTATAAGTAAAAAAGTCACGTATATAGAGGAATCTAAAGTATGCTCTCCACTTCTTTCGGGTTTAAGAAAATTAATAAAAATGAGATCGATCAACAAACCACAAAGATTTTTCCTGAAATTTTCGTTCTTATTACGTTAAGAAGTTTTATTCAACCACCAAGTTTAATGATTATGTACAACACAAATAATTTTGTGAATATGTTCGCTGTGTCCCTAAAGTTCTTTGAACAATAATGGAGTTCATACAAAAATATTTGCGGGAACTTCGGAGAATTGTATGGGTGAAAACTAGCTTTCGATACCTGTGGTGGGCAGAGCACAAACAATCTATCGTGTAGCTTTATGCTTAACAATGAACAAACAAATATCTTACTATATATATATATATTTAACTGGGTGAATAAGTATTCTCTACCACAGTTTAAATCTAGACATACAAGTGATAAATATGTGAAAAAAAGAGTTAAGAAACACGCCATAATATCATAATAGTTTATTCGTTTTTCCTGAAATATCAAACAAACTAGTGATGTTATAAACACGAACACAGTTTTATCTGCCACCATCATTTTCAAGGTTTAGTCTACCTGTTATAAAAAATAATCCTATCACAATAACTCTTCAACAAGCAGCATCATATTTGTCCATTAGCTAATTGTTTTCCAATCATGAATTCGCTACTGTTAAAAAAATAAAGAATTATTCTACAGCTATTTTAACCAGTTCAGTAAAGAGGATTATTCTTTCCAATACTCACTTACTTTTAAGCACGATGTGACCAAAATACGTAACTATCCATACAACTATTAATTAATTAATCTATAATCATGACATAGCCTATTTAGTTCAGAAAATAGTCTATTTCTTAACCAATGGATTTGTAAACATAACACCCCCCCCCCCCGTTTAGGGAAAAAGGATTACTCTATTCGTTATCAATCAATGAAATATTAGCCTGTCTAATAGTACTTAATGTGGAAATTTAATGTTATCATTACGTAAGTAAGATTACTCTAGCCACTTTATCTAAATCCTATATCAGGTTAGTTTGTTTGTTATTAAGCACAAAGCTACACAATGGGCTATCTGTGTTCTGCCCACCACGGGTATCGAAACCCGGATTTTAGCGTTGTAAGTCCGCAGACATACCGCTGTACCACTGGGGGGCACCTATATCAGGATGGGCAAGCTACTAGAAGACAGAACAACCCTGTAGGTTACTATTAACCTCCAATCATGATGCAAACAAGATTAATCAATCCACGATCATATCTCCGTTTGATAAACGAGATTAATCAATCCACGATCATGATATCTCAGTTTGATAAGCGAGAGTAATTAGACCACAGTCATGATATCTCAGTTTGATAAGCGAGAGTAATATGTCCACAGTTATATTACCCTCGTTTATAAGCAAGATTAATTAAACTTCAGTCATAATGTCACTGTTAAATAACCAAGATCTAGTTGTATGTTATTTAACCTGCACCAGGTGTGATGCTGTAGTACGGCTTTCTCGTAATAAATCAAAATTTTTGCTTTCGAAAAGTTAACCAATCTTCAAGCATAACTTGAAACATAGATGGTTAATTCGACTTCGTGAGACAATTTTCATGTGCAAATATTAAGTACTTTAGATCATGATGAACTTCCGGTCATTCTTTTCAGGTGACTTATAGCAAACGTCTTCACTACTGCCATTTACTGGAAATATAAGGACTCTATAAATACTAAAACGTAAATTTATCTTCCTTATTACAAGTATAATCAATAATAATAGTGTGAAACTTTCTGAGGTCAACTGTTTGCGGAAAATACTTAAAAGTATAGTCTTTCGTTTTCTCGGAAATGTTTTATATCATTTAGTGATTACGAAAAGGTAGAATAAAGAGAAAGAAAAAAACGGTAATACAATATACATTCACTTGATTATTGAATTTAGTAATATTAATATGCGTATTCAGCCAAGTTCAGAACTTAAATCGAGAGACACACAAATAAAAAGATAAAAATAATACCTGAGCCGTACAAATCACTAGAGTCAGTAGCAACTGCAATGGTACCATGCGTATTCACTAAGAACGAGAACTATGAACGACAGGAAGGATGGTTTATATAATGTTGTGGACTAATATATATAGCTTTACTAAAACCTCATTTTTTTTCATGTCAATTTGGGTACCGAAATTCTATTTATATATAATTTTGTTTCTATAAGAAACTATATTTGATCATATGCAAATGATATAGTTAAGACAGTATTAACATTTACCGTGGATATTTATCACTATAAACCAACTCGTTGATTTATGTATAAACATCTAAAAGTTTAATATATCTCTTCTTTTTTCAGAAACAACGAACTGACAAGCCTTCCCAGTGACATTTTTATTAATATGACTAAATTAATGATTCTTAATTTGAAGAACAACAAGCTTGAAACACTTTCTTTATCAACGTTTTTAGATTTATTGAAAAATGAGCAACGTGTGACAGTTGAAATTGAAGGTAATTATTACTTAGTAAATTACTGTAGACGTCATGTAACAGGAAGTAAATATAAATAGTTTGATTAATAATCAGATGAGGAATATTAAAAGAAATTGTTGTTTACGATCATTTTAAAGTTTTTAGTTTTTAGAAACATACATTTCTGGGAATTAAGTTAATAAAAAAATTATTTTCAGAAATATAGATTGCAGGCAATTAACAATAGTTAACAATGTTTAACAATAGTCAACAACGTTTAACAGTAGTCAACAATGTTTGTTATTTGTGAATATTCAAAGCATTTCCATAAATTAATAAAAAATGAATTTCTGTAAACTCCCTCTGGTAATATTTTAGAGAATTTAATGGTATGTTGGTATGTGTATGATCATTATTATGTGTCACACTATATATATATGTGTGTGTATGTGCCACACAAGCATACAGAATCAACAGTACATACATTAAAGTATTCAGATTTCGGAATTTATTGGATATAATGCCCCATATTTCCGATTTATAAAAAGGCTGATCAAATATGTTTTTCATCGACACATATATGTACGTTCCAGAATTCCCACGCTCAGCTAGACCTTCTCGTTAAAGAGGAAGATTCGCAATCAACAGGTCGCAGATTAGAATCTCGTCACCAAACATATTCGCCCTTTCAGCCGTAAGTAAAGAGTACCCCAAGAGTTGGCGAGGGATGCTGTCAACTAGCTACCTTCCCTCTAAATTAGAGCTAACTAGCTCAGATATCCCTTGAGTAGCTTTGTGTGAAATTCAACAAACAAAAAAACCCATAATATTCTATAACCAGAAAAAATACTGTACTTCTTTTTTCTCAAAATTAATTCGGTTTATAAAATCTCTAGAAGGTGGCGTATTGTGCGACTGAATCATACTTCATGTTTTCATTCGTTATTTGCACTCTTATTCAAACTATCATGTCATTATGATAAGTCAACAATAAACCTAGCCCACAGTTACCTCATAGACGCAACAACAGATATGCGAGGACATAGAACGAGGAAAAACAGGTGTAGTGATTTATTGTAGGTGCCATGAAAAGCTAAGACATGGCGTTAAAATTTAAATAATTTTTTAGTTTGTTTGTAATTATGCACAAAGCTACACAATGGGCTATCTGTGCTCTGCCCACCACGGATATTGAAACCCAGTTTCTAGCATTGTAAGTCCGCATACATACCGCTGTGCTACTGTGGGGCAAGTTTAAATGAAGAAACAAATGGAAGATAAAACATTGATGAATTATTCCGTCGTGATTAATTTAGGAAAATAGTAATCTCTCTATTTTATAGTAAGTGAAAAAATTAAAACTGTGCCTAATTATAAAACAATTCTAAAAGCAAACAGTAACTTCTTTATATTCCCTTTTAAGATCATGTTCTGAGTCAGTCATAAACCATAACAGATTTGATGCAAGGGTTTGTTTGTTTGTTTGAAGTTAAGCACAAAGCTACACAATGGGCTATCTGTGCTCTGCCCACCCGCAGACAAACCGCTGTGCCACTGCAAAGGTACGTACATTTCTGTAACTTTAATGAGCTTTGTGTTTATTTGTTTATCTGCGCAGAACAACAGAAATAATTGGCCCTAATTTTCATATTTTAGGCTATGGCAAATGCAGAATAGTGGGATTTAACTATCACTTTTATAACGCGCCCACGGGTCAAAATACGCTAGCCATGACCCTTCGGATTCACATCACGACAGGCTAACCACTGGATCAAGTGGACTCGTGTAAATCATATATTATTTTTATTATTTTTTTAATTTTAAACCGCTTATCTCAATCACGAAATAAAGAAAGTTTAAAAACAAATGATAATCTTGTTTGCCAATAGTACTCACTTCATGTTAAAATAAGTTCGAAAATCAAACATTTTAAACGTACACAGAAATGTGCCATTTTCAGTGCGTACTGTAAATTGTAAAATGTTTAACATACAGAATAGAAATTGTGGAAAAACTTAATGATATTTCTGATTATAAAAAATCGAATATTTAATTCCACTACTCTAATCATGACAAACTGATGTAGCATTATCTACAATTTAATTCTACCAGTGGCGGCTTTAAACGTGATTAAGTAAGAGACTACTTAGAACTCTCATACTTTTAGTTTTAAAATGACATTTATAATTAAAATGTTTTCTTTATTATCTCTCACAAAAGGGCAACGAATGATGCGATGTATAACCCCTTAAGGTAACAATTAGAAACCACATTTGAGCTTTGTATATATGTATACATATTTATCTGAAGGGGATTGTTCCCAAAATCCTCTACTAGCGAGCAACTTCTCGGTGGACTTTTGTGATCATATTATTCAACTGCTTGTCTCCTTGCTCTAACTAGGGCCGACACCTGAGTTGGTTTACATGTAGATTCATGTGTAACTTCGAATGTTTTAAGACTTTACCACGTTTGATTTATACTCCTCTAGGTAACCCCTGGGACTGCACCTGTAACATAGCATGGTTGAACGACGGCAACATTGATGTCTACGATAAAGATTCTGCTACTTGTGCTTCACCCAGCGCACTGAATAACACTGTAATTGAAAACGTTAATTGGAGTGTACTTGATTGTTTCAAATTGGGTCACTAATTTATAAAACCTAAAACAAAGAAAATATCACACGATTGGAAAAATCACGTTGATTTGAAGAATTAATGAAAGCGAACACTTTAATTTCTAGAATAATTCAAGTAACTTGCTGATGTGTATTCGTTGTAACATTTTATAACCTGCATGATCCCAGAGTGATCACTAAATGTCTATGATAAACATAACATTACTGTTAACATTTATTTTGTCTGATATTTTCATAACGTCAGACACTTGAATAAGTGGCATAAAGGTTCATTGTAGTTATTATTAATGGATATTAAGTGACTTTCATTAATTCACTTATGCTTTTTAAGAATTTGAGTAAGAAAAAATATCGCGAACTGTTTATTTTCACAATAAAAATAATAATAAATGTTTTCTGTTGGTTTAGTTGTTTTCAAGCACTGAATTTAGCCTAGGCTCTGAACTTTTTTTCTGACTAATTCCAGAGATTCAAGTATCACAGACCTGTACTATATTAATTACTCAATCAATGTGGTTCTCATACATTTCTGTGTTATGTATTTATATCACCAGTTACAGTTGCTCCTTCTATGTCTTGCATAGATACATGCACTAAATATATATATGTTAATGTGTTAAATTTTATGATTCAATGTTGTCACGAAACTCTGTTTTACATCATTTATCTTTGCTATGGTAAAAAGATGGTAATCTGATGGTGCCATATCTGGAGAATATGATGGGTGGGGGAGAACTTCCCAACCCAACTCCATAATCTTGTGT